CGCGAATCGATCTTTTCCAGTATTTATTTCAGAGCACATTTAAAACAAGATCTGATTAACGTGAGTCTTATCATTAGTCTTCTCCGCTAGATGTCACCCTTATTTACCTTGAGCGATGTTACAATAGAAAGTCTGTCATTCATTCAGCGCTTATGGCCATACGTGCAATTCGCAATGCTCAGGTGAAATGCTATAGTAATACTATAAATCTGCGGAAGCATCTGATATCACGCATAAGGCGCGGTAAACTGATGTTTACTGTTCATTTTTTAGAAATATCAATAGCAGTTGTATTAAAACTATATTCACTGAATGTAATCAAAAAAATCGAGAATCGAATCAAGAGCTTGCATATCGAAATCGAATCGAATCGGGACATCTGAATCGATACCCAGCCCTATTCGCGAGCCGTCTGAAACGCGTGTGCTTGTAGAGAACAGCGCGCGAGGGAGTTCCCTTTTGCCTTTTCTCTCTGGAATTGTTTAAAATTCGCTTGCTTGTGTAAATACGAACAAATGATAAACATACTCTATTATGGTTAAATTTTGCAATTAATCCGCGGGTCACATGCGTGCTGAACCGTGGGGCTTGGTCCGTACGGATCACTTATCAACTACGATCCGTTTAACCACTATTATCAACTAAGATGTTATGATTTTGGTTCAATGTGTATTCAGACTAATGAATCCTTAACTTCAGTATGATCAACCTTTTGCCTTTTACAAAGAAAAGTTGAATTCAAAATACAACAAATCTCATAAATTACACTTGAAATATTGTTAAAAAATGTAGGCCTAATTGTTATATTGATTTACCAAAAATATATAGATGTTGATGTGAGCAAAATGTTAATAGGTCAATATAACCCTTCTAATTAAATAATTATTACTGTGTTTCGGTAGTGACAAATTTGGGGAGAGGACCAATATTCAAAAATGTTCTGAAAATACAATATTATAATACAATTAACTGCACAATTACTAGAAATGTGTACCTTGGGATATTATACAATTTGCATACATCCAATTTTTTTTTTCAACTCTGACTTATACAGTGTATTCAGTATGTATATATATGTATAATTATATATATATATATACACATACATTATATATATATATATACACATACATTATATATATATATATACACATACATTATATATATATATATACACATACATTATATATATATATATACACATACATTATATATATATATATACACATACATTATATATATATATATACACATACATTATATATATATATATACACATACATTATATATATATATATACACATACATTATATATATATATATACACATACATTATATATATATATATATATATATATATATATTATTTCCAAATAAAAATTGCACTATTATTTGTTTCAGCGTGGCGAACTCAATTCGACGTGTATTCATGTCAGAAGTCCCAACCATTGGTAAGAATCAAACCATCTCTGTCTTCTGGCTGCTGAGTTTTTATACAAAAAGGGGTCGGTTTAATTTTGTGTTTACTTGATGTAATTATGCACTTTGTCTTTTAAATCGGATAATCTGATGTAATGTGCTTGTTTGCCAGCTATCGATTGGGTTCAGATTGATGCCAACTCCTCTGTGCTCCATGATGAGTTTATTGCACACAGAGTGGGTGTGTATGTGCAAAATCTTTTCAAATCTTTCATATCACTCTTCTTTTAGTGCTAAGTGCAGTTATCATGCTCCTCTTTCATAGGGCTTATTCCACTCACAAGTGATGACATTGTTGACAAGATGCAGTACTCACGAGTAAGTGTATTAAACACCCTGCCAGCATTTCTGTTTTTATGAATATGGCTCATCTCATTAAATGTAGAGAAGTAAAATCTAACATTTTGCTTTCTTTGGTTTCCTATTAGGACTGCACATGTGATGATTTCTGTCCGGAGTGTTCGGTTGAGCTCACGCTGGATGTGAGATGTACAGAAGACCAGACGCGACACGTGACCTCACGAGATCTCCTGTCCAATAACCCCCGAGTCATTCCTGTACGTGGATTCTCCTCACAAACTCACATATACACATTTTGCTTTTTCTTATGTGATGTATCTTGCTCTTCAGGTAACATCCAGAAGCCGAGACAACGATCCCAATGACTATGTGGAGCAGGATGGTGGGTCAGATTCCTTTCTAATTTTCTGTATAATCACTCAGATATATTAGTATTGATCATTTGGGGATTTCGTACAGACATCCTGTTGGTGAAGCTGCGGAAGGGTCAGGAGCTGCGTCTCAGAGCATACGCTAAAAAGGGTTTCGGCAAGGAGCACGCCAAATGGAATCCCACTGCAGGGGTGGCGTTTGAGTACGACCCAGACAATGCACTGAGACACACGGTGTACCCAATTCCACAGGAATGGTATGGTTCTTATGGCATGGTTTGATCACATTAAATTAGTATTATTTGTAATCAGGTACACAGAAGTATTGGTTTAGGATTTACTTTGAAACCAATTTCACTCAGAAATTCCTAGTAAATTTGACAAAGAAATGGCAAGTAACACCTAAAATTAAATGTGGAATTTTTAAGACTGAATTAGTATTGTCTTGTGAAACGTACTCCAATAATGGAGTGCAATTTTTTTACAGTGTACATAAATGAACACCCGGTTCTCATAAGATTGCAAAAAAAAAAATTATGTACACTGTAAAAAATCTACCATCCTTAAATATGACCCACCCCCCCGCCCCCCATTGTTTTATATTAATTATTCATCAATGTTTATGTATTGTTTTTTTTCTTTTATGTATTTAGATAATCTTCATATATTTCGTTTTGCTTTTTACTTGTCAAAAAATGTAGTGTATAATTATGTACCTTTGCTCACCTTTTGCTTGTCAGGCCTAAAAGTGAATATTCAGAAATTGAAGAGGATGGAGTTCAAGCTCCATATGATCCTAATGGCAAGCCAGAAAGGTAAGGAAGTTAAAAACCATACATACATGCATACATAAGGATATATGCTTGGGAATTATTGTTTTAATAAATAACCCTGTTTTGTTTATGTTGAAAGTGTTAAATCATTTAATAATGTATAATACAAATAACTAAAATTCTAAACTACAAATACTAAATAACTGTGATATTCTGTTATTGTATTATGAGAAATTATTTTGCTATATTATGAGAAACTTAATCACAACCACAATATTGCTTCTAGGCAACAATGCCATTTAAGCAATTTCTCATAATATACTAACAATTTATCTTTAAAATGACTGCTTTAAAATGCAGCTTATTTACTAAAATATATTTTTTTATGGATAAAAAAAACATTTCTGAAGGCATGCCTCAATAGAGGGTTAATACAAAAAAAAGAACATCTACATGATTTTTTTTCATCCAGGTTCTATTACAACGTGGAGTCCTGTGGTTCACTTCGGCCGGAGACCATCGTCATGTCGGCTTTCGCTGTACTTAAGAAGAAACTGAGTGATCTGCAGACACAGCTCAGCCATGAAATTCAAAGCGATGTGCTCACCATTAACTGATGTTAAAATACTGCTTATTTTGGATCACGCTTTTGGGAAAATATATTTTTTCAGCTGTTATGTTTCTTTGCATGAAACCATGTTATGTTGGAGAATTCTATGAATAATAAACACGTAAAAATATTGTTGTTTCATTACAGGAGTTGCACAATGTGGGGGGAAAACACTATGAACACCAGAGGGCAGGGTTTGTGTGAAAATATGAGGCCATTCTGTTGATTAATACGTGATTGAAACAAGAAGACAGCGTGTATGGTCATGACAGAGATATGACATGAGAACATTTTATTTAAAGCAAAACAAGCCCTGAAATGGATGTAACAAATTTACAGAAAACCGCCCCGAGACAAACTGTTAAACGGAACACATGGAAGGAACAAGAGCTACGTGAGTTCGACAACAGATTGTGCAATCATATTTATTTGTCCCGTAAATTTTGGTTGTTTCAAATACATTACACAATACACTAAGTATCGAGGGATCTGGAGGAAAGTGCAGTTACAAAAACTTCTCTCTTTGCTTTTAATCATGAATTCTAGTTTAGCACAAAATTACAGCAACATAGATCAAGTGAATGCATTCCTCACAAGAAATGTGCGAGAGACAACTTGTGAAGAAAAAAACAGAACTTCTGCATGTCTTCATATAAAATGCGTTGTAAAAATCGGAATCTGCGTAAACAACGATTCTGCGTACATTTGCCAGGAATATAAAGTGTCAGTTTGCAGAATGCAGATATCATATGGTGTAAAAGTGCGGTCACGTTAGCGAAATTTCGCGGGCAAACAAAAAAATCCATTGTCAATTATGTATAAAAGCGACTGCTCACATTCAAGTCAGTAAATGTTCAACTGCACAATACGGTTATCAGTACTGTTTTGTAGTAAATACGGTTGAGTTCACACACATTTTGGTAATTTCGTAAATTTTCAGGAATTTTCGGCGAAGCACTGTGCGAACGAAACCGTACGGGACAATTAGTTGTCTGTCACGTTTTACAGTTCGAGAGATCATGTTTTCATGTGTGGTGTCGGTAACTTACAGAGATGCAGATATGAGCAGTGTGTCCTCCATCATAGCAGCGCCTCCCGCCAGTTTTGTGGTCTGCGCGCTACTCAAGTCGGCCACTCTACTGAGGTAAACAAAAAACACCTGCCGTCGGTTAATTACCATTTTTACGGATAAAAACTGCTCATCTGACCTTTTGTCGTGTCAAATGTGATCAGACGTTGCCGGTTTGTACGTTGCCATCTTATATATTAACTTCACAAATATTGACTTCAGTTACACGTTCCTGCAGACAGTAGACTATCAGCGTCTCTTGCAAGCTGAAGTGTGAACAGAATATATTTCGAGACTGGCTGACAGATGTTGAAATGACTGCATTTCGCCCGTGAAATTTGCCGGAGCAAATGTGACCGCATCGCAAGTGGCCTAAAATATGTGCTCGTTTTGTTATTCGTCAAGTATACACACCACACAACTACATTTTAACTTCTTTCTTTAATTACATAGTCTAAAAGAAGCAGGTGACAGCCATTATCTCATTATTTTTCATATCTTCTAATTAATTGAGACCTATGTATATGTAAATTTCATTTCATATTATATACTGTACTGTGGAATACTGGCAAAGAAAGACCAAACAGTGTTCTTTAAATTGGTGTATTGCTTCTTAACTGATACCACATAGATTTTTGGCACACCACATATCAGAGTTAAATGTCATAAAAATTTCATAAATATTTCTATAAATCTTTAAAATACTGTGCTGTTTCCTAAAATAAGATATATAGAGATGATAACTCTAACTCCTCTATGGTCGAGAGATAAGCAAACATATATATAATTTATTTCTGAATCTCTTCACTGCATACTTTAAACGGTCATAACTTCATTCACAGCCATTCTCTATCTCATCTATCGCCGGCGTTACCCACAGTGCATTGAACTTAATACTGAATGTGAAATGTATAATGCTGGCTGGCACTTCGTGTCTCTGTGATGTTTTAATCACAAATATGAATATTATCTCTAGTCCGATGCCATACCTGTGGGATTTTATGGCATTTACAGTCTGATGAAATTGATAAATCTCTGAGAAACGAGTGTCTAACAATGAAAAGATCACAACTAAACTTCAAATGACCTAAAGATGGTGTGGTGTGTCAAATTGTAACACGGATAGGCACACATTGCAGTTACATGTTTAAATTAATAACGTAGTATAAGACAGCAAAATCATAACTTCTTCCAATTGTTGAGCAAAGCAAAAGGATTGCAGGACATAAAATTAAAGGACAAGTAAAAGCACTTTGCTTAAAAATGTGTTGTAGACAGTTGCAGGTTTAGTTGCAAAAAAATAAAAATAAAAATAAAAAAAATACTCAACAATTTACAGATATGAACTCCTGTATCAGTTACAATTGACGACATTGATATGTATAGATTAAGGAGGTTTCCTGTAGTTTTCTGGACGTTCCTTTTTACCACCCAACAATCAAATGATTTAGCGAATTATAATTACAAAAAATAAATACCGTACATAAAAATAAATTATTAAATGAAAAATTCATCACATTTTTAAAGCAAAAGACAGATACATATTGGCCCTTTCAGAGTGATTGTGTCAGCGTTCAACTCAAAGCTGTCAAATTTGACAAAGAGAGTTGTCAGTTTCTACTTCAATTCAATTATTTTCCATTCACCCATGAAACTAAACCTCAGTATTTCAGATCATATGTGTTCCTGTGAAGACCCATTATTCCAAATCAAATCCGCTGGAAATTAATACTGACTAGCAACGCTGAGCAACAATGCAAACTAGTATCGACTAAAGGTACAAATTAAAATGTTGGTGGGAATGCCGTAGACCTCCTTACCATATGGAAGACACCTAATAGTAAACCACAATTCAAAGACCCAAGAGAATTGTTGATAATTCAGACAAACATCCAATGTTAGCGTATTACAAGACTTGAAGATTTAAGATGGTGGAGAGACCTGTTGCTTGCTACGGTTACGTTTGTTCGCATATAGGGAGATTTGACCTCTGTGTTTTCAAGTGACCACGGCCCTTCTAGAACTGTCAGCGAATTAACTGAGGGACATCTAAATGCCCGCTGATCACATCTCCGAGATTCGTGTACCTCTTGGTCGAAGGTGTAGGAGGAAAAAAAAAGCAAGATATTTATTTCATAGGCAGCTGATACATAGACAAAGGTTCCCTTTTTTCCTGAAGAAATATTCTCTGTAGAATTGTCTTAGCAAAGATAGAAAATGGATCCCCAGCTCTGCTGGTTTCAGTGCATTCGAAGGAGGCCAAAGTCCTTAAAAGCCAAAGGATAGTCAGCTCATGTTTGTAGTTTCCATACAGTGTGTTGGCTTCAATGTCCTCTCTGGTGCTGGAGCTCTTGGAACAGAAACGCAGGGAACCGCTTGTGCTTACGCGGATATTTTGAACGCTTGAGTTTCTTCAGGATGTGAGAGTTCCTAAAATCCACCGAAAGCATGATAGGACAACAAACTGTTCAAATTAGTGAACCGAAATAAGGGAAGAGGGAAAAAGAAGCTTATGAACAAGATGCGCGGAGTCCTGGTAAGGACGTCTGCCCAGTCTCATCTGTCCAAGAGGACTTTCAGCGCCCGCTCGATGTTCATTCTGTGACCCACACGAGTCACGCCCAAGTCGATCAGATCCTCCTTTTGCAGGTTGGGCAAATGGCTGCCCTCGATATCATTGTCCATAAAGGCATCCCTGTGCTCGCCCAGGTTCAGGCTCTCGAGCCAGTCAGCCACGTCCTGCTTGCTCCATATGAGGACGGGTTTGGTGGCAAAGGGCTTGTTTGATGCAGCCTGGATAAGGGTGAGCGGGGAAGGGGAACGGCTACGTCCCGTGCCCAGGCTGAGGGGCGGTGTGGGCAGACCAAATACGTCCGTCATGGTGGGGGAAGTGGCCGAGGTCGGAAGGGAAGAGGCACAGCTGAGGCCAGAGTCCGGCGGGGACATGATAGGGCTCGGGGTGTGGTGGTGGGGAGGCAGGCTCTCGGCCTGTCGGCACGGTGACGGGGCAGGCACGTTGGGGCCAGGCTGGGCAGTGAAGGTAACGGTGTTGTTCTGCTGTGTACCTGAGATGAGGGATACACCATCCTGATTTCTGCAAAGACAGAAGGATAAAAGTAAGGAATATGTATTAATGAGACACAAGGGATAACGCAAAACTATATTCCTGCAAAAGATGCTAGGGTGTTATAAGAGGTTGCCAGAGCATTGCTATGTGGTTGCTAGGGAGTTCCGTGTGCTTACTCGTCCAAGTTAAAGTCTGTACGATATGGTTGCAGGTCCTTCATTCATGTTTTGTCTGTTTTATTGTCCACCAGGTAAAAGTCCAATGCTCTCCTCAACAAACTGCATTATATAACTAGAGTGATAATATGAGTGATACTTCTAAGTAATGATGCCTGAAAAAAAGCCTGCATAATTCATAATTACTGAACATAATTTTAGTCAGTCGTACCATTTTATTCTATAACCTTTAAAATATATGTTTTTTACGTTTACACTTGCGTTGTCCTATTTTCCAAATTCTTATAGCTCAAGTGGGACTAAATCAATTCAATTCTTGAGCTCCTCTGGAAAGGTGCCTTTAAGGATGCGAGAGTTGAGACCAGATAATAAGAAAGAGATCCTAACAGAAGACATACCCACACAGCTCTTTATGGGTGAATCTCTCAACCCATGTCTCACCCATAATATAGTATCTGAACATTATGAAAGTGTTTGTTGTAATTCATCTTATTTATGCTGATTTTATTTCCCAGCAGCATGATTTTTATTACTGTATTACAGTAATGAGAAAACAGAATTAGAGTAAAATGCGTTTAATCATCATTGAAGTGAAGACCTGGAAGTCCTAAAAACAGCATGTTTTTAATGCAAATTATTATTATTACTATTTTAGGGTAAAATATGATTTGCATATTTCTTTGTGAGATTCACCCTCACGTGTCATGTACACGATTTCTATTTATGTAAAGATCAAAGAGCATTGAAAGTATGAGTGTACTGTAGGTGGTTTAGCTTTAAGGAGGCTGTGAATGTGAGGCTCTTTAGCAATGCAATGTCCTTGCCCCAGGTTTCTCTTTATACCCAAGGTGTATTGGCCTACATTTGTTCCAAGTAAACTTTTACATTTGCATCTGATGTAGTACATGTAAATAAAACATTGGTTTTAGACTCATGTAAACAGTACTCAAACTATTCTTCCAAAGAATATGTAATCCAAAAAAACAAACAAACATCAATAACAATATATAACACATAAGTTACACACCCAGCCATGGTCTTAAGATTAAAACTACCTCAGTTTAATGAGTCAATAAGAAACATGGTGACCTTCCACACTAAAAATCTATTTTTATTCATAGTGAAAAGAAAATACATCTTTGCCCAGTGTTTGCTAAACATAGGGCTCAGCCTGGGCTACAAGTGCATTTTAGGGTCAGTTCTGTGGTCTGTAAATAACATCATTCAATAATGAATGAGACTTGGGACTCCATGTCAATGGCAAACCATTGCCTGTGCAATGTGGCAGCCATCAGCATACACAACCCATGTTTTGCAAAATAAATGACACATAAGCTTTAAATCCTAATGAGCTTATTCTGTAGGAGACATCAGTGAAAAAAGGTACGGTGGGGGACAACATGAGATATATCGATTAAAAATACTCTTAATACAGGTATTAATGATAATACTTAAAACAATAGTGGAAGGTATTGATAAATGCTTTTTGTGTGTGTGTGTGTGTGTGTGTGTGTGTGTGTGTGTGTTGTATTGTGTAATGGGTATTGACGTGAATTAATGTTAGACAGTAAACGCTATGGGATGCAAGACCATTTTTGGAAAAAATTCCAACAATAAAGTGAAAATTGAATTGAATTGAATCTTTAAAAATGGGCAATTTTACCAAACAATTTGGGACGCCAAGTATATATATATATATATATATATATATATATATATATTTGAGTGTGTGTGTCTGTTTATTAATGCATTGTGCTGTTGTTCTGTATTGAAATCAGTCAATTCTGTGCAACTATGCATAGCATTCTAAATCAGTTACTTATGAGGTTCCATCTGAGTTAAGATGCAGCCATAAAAAAGCTGCCGATGTTGGCAGAAGGCTGTATAGCAGCTCAATAGGTTTTCTGAAAATTGGAACTCCTTATAACCTTAAATGTTTTGTCAAATGAAATAGAAAAGCCCTTTAAGATATTGCTTACGATAATCTAGGGATGTCTTGTGGGAGCAGTTTGGGTGATGTGACAACTAAGTAACAAATGGATCATGTTGTAACAACACACGCACATATGCACGCGCACACACACACACCTCCCCCCTCTGTGGTACGGTCTGTGTTCATCATCACACTGACGTTGCTCATCTCGTCCTCAAGGCTGTTCTCATTATTGGGTTGCTAGGCAACTCTTTCATTCTCCAGCAGAGCACACACACTAATCTGAGAGCCTAAATGTAAGCCTGTGATACAGGCAGGAAAGGGGGCATACCTCGTTCCGAAGTGAGTCCTGGATCCGGTCGGAGAGTCTAACGCTTCCCCTGGCTTTGGTGCTTTGTCCTTGTTCACATGCTGCAGAACTGAATTGGCTTCAGGGCCATGGGGTCCTTTCATCTCCAGAGGGTCCCCCCACAGCTTTGAGGTTCGTTGTGTTGGGGTTTTCAAGGGTTCTGGTGTAATTGATCCAGGGGGCGGAGGTGGGACAGAGGAGGGCATTCTGAAAGAGCTCACATTCTCCTCAGGCAAAGCGTCCTTGTAAAGTGCATTGCTCTTGATGGCAGGTTTGGGTTTTGGTTTGGACAGGATCTGAGACCTGTCCACCAAAAAGGCTTGTCCATCTGCATAGATGGTGCATGTGTCCAGAGTCTCGCCTCCTTCAGAAGACAAGGTGGAGATGCTGGACACAGTAGAGATGGTGCTGGTGGTCTCCAGTTGGGGGTCACCGCTGCTCCGGCTGTCTACCTCAATACCCGAGTCAGTGATCTGTTCATAGGGCTCTAGCGGCCCAGGAGGGAAGCTGGGAGGTGTGCAGTTTGTGAGGACGGTTGGTCTCTTGATTTCGGAATTCCCACCACCTAACGAGGGATAATAGGGAGCAAGAGAAGGCCCTTTTGTACCATTTGTTTTATGTTTGAACAGTTCAGCTATAGTCCCCGCCTGGTCTTCAGGAATGTCAAAACTGTTGGCAAACTCCAGTGGGGGTGGTAGGGGTTCAGCAAACACAAAATCTTCATCGATGTCGACAGAGGCCAAGGGCGGCAGAGGGATGCCAAAGGGCAACTTGACGGGCTCATCCACTGAGCTAACAGTTATGATGGTCTTGCCATGTGGAGCAGCTGATAGCGCCTTGGGAGCTGGGGGGTTGGTGGGAGCTGGCTGGTTGGGGTCGCGAAGCTCCCCAGGGGTGTTGTCGGTACTCATTGCCTCGTCCCTGTCGCCCTCTGACAAGCTGTTATCCTCCGATTTTGCCCCATCTGTGGTGTGTACCATCAGCAGACCAGCTGACTTCTGCTGAGAAGTGTCCACAATGTCAATCAGCATGTTCTTCTTCTCCTCAGGCCTCTTCTCAGGCTTGCCCAGATCGAGCTGATACTTGGATTCAGTCTCATATTTGGACTCCGTCATCTGCCTCCGCAGGCCCCCGCGGGGACGGCCCATGGTAGCGGTACTTGAGAAGCCAACCTCCACATTTGGTCTAAGCTTGGTGTCGATAAAAAGCGGTTTATTGAGATCAAGTTTGGATGGGCCACTCTTTAGCGGAAGAGGCTGTGATTGCTCCCTCATGGCTCGGTCTCTGGCAGCTAATGCTAAAGCTAACGGTGAATTGGAGTCTAGTGGCTTGCCTGTTACTGGGTGAACGTAATTCCCACTTCCTGAGCTGTAGGTCTTATGAGCAGGCAGACTGATCGGGCTGTGTCCTGTACGGGTGTTCAACAGTTCCCTTACCATGGTGGGCTCAGGGCTGTTGAAGTCCGTCACGTTACCACCACCTCTAGGGATGCTAAGTAGTGATGAGGGAGGTGCCATGAGCCTACGCAGCCGCTCATCGCTGCTAAACATGCCCTCATCAATAGACTTGGAGTGTCGGAGACGTGGGGCTGGTGTAGGCACCACGTCCTCATCACCTGCATCTGTTGACTTAAAAGATGGGGAGTTGCGATGAGCATCAATCCTCTTCTCCCTGTCTCTAACTGCACCGGCAATGGCAGCTGCAAAGGGACTGCCTGGATTTAAGCCATCTTCAGGACGCAGTTGTCCTGGGTGATCCGGTGTGGTCATCTCAATTTCCATGCTGCTACCTTGACTGCTCTTACCGCTGCTGCTGGTGGAGGGCTCTTTGATTATTATGGTCGGAATCGGGATGGAGCAGGTTTTCTCAGGACTGTCTTCTACGTTGGACTGCTTGACAAGCATTCCCTTCCTTCTGGCAGGCTTGTTGGGCACAAAGAGTCCAGCTTGACCCATCTTGCCCACATCCGAGTAAGGGTTTTCAGGAATTTGGGCACGGCGCCTATGAAGACTCTGTTGGGCTGTTGGGCTGTGATTGTACCCCTCGGAATCGTACTGTTCGGGACTGTCTCTGTAATACATGCCTTGATCTCTCCACCCAGCAACTTCACCTCTGTCTGGGGCTGTACTGTTTGCATTAGGACTCTGTGAAGTAAAGCCTGGTCTGATGGTGCCATATCCTCGACCAGCTGGGACAGGAGCATTATTATTAGGTGGAGATGGAGGGGAGATGGCTGGTGGTGGTGGAATATCTTCTGATGTGTCAGGCATTGAAAGGCTTCTTGTAAATTTCAACATTGGAGGAGTAAGGAACTGCTTCTCTTCTTCGGTTACTCCTGTAAAGGAATGAAGAAAGAAAAATCAACAAATCAGCAAGCCTGTGGGTGCAGTCACCACCCGGAAACAATAAATATAACGCCACAAAGCAAATTATATATCTTGAAAATACGTCACATCAGTGAAAAAGCCTCCAGCTAGAGTGGGCTGACCAGTGAGTGTAAGTAAACAAAAGTATTTGTATAATTTTACAAAGAGCTGAAAGACTTTTGCGTGCAATTCATCAAAATAAAGGACTGTGTGAAGATGTACTTCAGTGACAAAACAAAACGAAACAACCACGCACCTATAGATGTTTGCCGCCTTATGGTTCCCTTTGGTACACCCAGAAAGGGGCCTCTAGGACTCCCTGGCTGTTGCGGCGAGTCTACTGCTGTATCCTGACTATTGCAGAGAGACTGCAAAAGACAGAATAAGGCTGACATGATAATAAGAACAAGCAGAATGCAGCACTTTTGCAGAGCGTCCATTCAAACCAAGCATCACAAAATATGTTGAAATGATTTCATAAAAAGAGACTGAGATGAAGAAATAAAAATAATCTCAAGCAGTGAAGCATACTCACAAGCCTGTGCATAACTTCACTCTAATTTAAAGCTGCAGTCCGTAACTTTTTTTGTGTTCAAAATTTGCAAAATTTATATAATAAGTGAGTACACCATGAATCCATTTTCCAAACCATGTTTTTGGCTTGTCCTGAATCACTACAGTACACCTATAATAAGTGTTTATATTCTGACTATTTAGACTGGTTCGGGTAGGTACCGCTGCGGAGTAACCCAGTACCTGCATGATTTGCCATAGACATAAACAGAGAGAAGTAGCTCCGGCTACAATGTTCTTCCACAAGACGCACGCAGTTCTGTTTATTAACCGCTAGAGCACCAAAAGTTACGGACTACAGCTTTAAGCATCAAAAACCAATATAGCATGCATGGCCAATGGTTGTACCAGACTTGCGAAAAGCGATTATTGCAGTTAGACTATAACAAAATTTTCTACAATGCCACGGGAGACCAGAACTCTTCAGGGCATGAGACAAGGCATGCTTACATTCATTTCAGGGCTGACAGCAAAACACTTGCTAGTCGGATGTGATTTGACTGCCGCCACCCTCACATCTGCATTTGAGTTGTCCCACATGGGTTTCTGGGGGGGCACGACCTCATCCACTTTATCTGTAAGACAACAGCATCTCAAATTAGAAAGCAGGAAGCTACATTTAATATAAGCTCAGTATCAAATATTGCTAATTTCCTCTAACAGTATCCTCAGAGCAAGGATCCAAACCGAGCAAGAGAGGCGACAGAAATAGGTACAACGACAATGGTCAAGGTCAAAGCCGTGCAAGCGCTTCCTGGTTCCGTTGGAGAAATCTTAGCACTTCTTTCAACGGCCACTGCGCAACATGCCAGCATTTTTTTAGACAGTTCCCATGCATGGGATGATTACTTAGTGTGACTTGAAATACAATCCTCTTCTTCAGACCCTCATTATCTGAAAGCTGATCATCTATACAGAAATGAAGGAAAGGGAAATTCAGAGTCTGATTTTCCTAGCATAAAAGTCATCAAGACTAAATCTGATAAGTCTCACACACACACACACACACACACACACACACACACACAGACAATTACTGTATACTTGATATCCTAGTAGACATATATTAGATGAAGTAAAGAACAAGCAGGAAAGAGAGAGACATTGAAATATAGGTGGCACCATTGCTATATAGAGCACATGATTTATTTAAACAAGTGTGAGACTGAACAAATACATACCTTAAAACAATACAGGGTAGTCCTGGGACTCTAAACAAGATCAAACATGATCACAGGAGAACAAAAACAACACTTTATACTCGTATATACTGTGCATTATATAAGTGTAAGATGAGATGGATGAGTCTAGTGGTGCGTTCTTTTGATCAGCATGTAACGCTTCAAATCCAGCAGAGCATTGTTTTTAGATTAGATTCAACTTTATTGTCATTGAGCAGAGTACAAGTACAGAGCCAATGAAATGCAGTTAGCATCTAGTCAGAAGTGCAAACAGCCATACATCTGGCATTAAAATGTGCTTCATATCTGGATATTCTTCAGCTGGACTTAAAGGTGCAGTAGGAGATCTCGGAAAATGCTAACTTTAGCCTGATAGCACTGAAAGCGAATGTCCCACCCTCCCTGCAATCGCTGTCCAAAGCCACGCCCCCTGAACGCACATATGCTAACAGACCAGAATACCAGAGACAACATTACTACAACAGGCTACAGCGGCTCCCAATTCCATCCCCCTGCGGGGCTGAAATTGGGAACCGTGTTGGGCTACATCATGTGTCATTCACCGGTGAGAAAACTTTACAGTACAGTTAGTAAAAGTATTACAATACCAGGAAGGAAGATCGGGTTGTTGATGTTTGTCTGCCATTCTCGCTCTGTCTGCACAGCATGCGTGAACGCGCTGATGACGTATCTTGTCTGCGCGAACTGCCTGCTCAGAGGTATGCTAATACATACCTTGACAGGCAGGTAGGAAAGCCAATTAAAACGCTTGGACCGAGCGTTTTGATTGGACGAACATTTCTTGGTCCTACGCCTTCCACAGGATATATACATATGTTGACAGGCAGGTAGGAAAGTCAATTAAAACGCTCGGACCGAGGGTTTTGATTGGACGAACATTTCTTGGTCCTACGCCTTCCACAGAATGTATAAATACAGATAAATACATTTAGACCACTTAACTTAATGATTGCTATCGGGATATGAAGAGACTTTCAACCAGCATAACAAAAAATGTTTCTGAAGGCAATCACCTATTGCACCTTTAATTTATACTTTATACTGTTCTTTGCGATCACACTTTCCTTACTTTCGAAACATTTCCGCAATAAAAGATGTTAATAGGTTTTAAAAGAGAAAAGAAGAAAATAAAGTTTAAAACTCATTAAAATGAGTGATCAAAGTGCACAATCAGTATTTGTTGTGTTGGATAATGATTGTAGTACTATCTTAATTATGCATTTTTATGTAGACAATACAATTTGCATTCTTTTATACCTTTACCAAAAGTAGTCAGAATTTGTCTCTGGCCACCTCAGTACGTGGTTTCAGCGATCTGATCACAATACATTTATGTTGTCAAGTGCTGATCATCTGAATGTGATCTGGAAACGCATGTTAATGTCAGGACTAAAGGGGGCCACAGTTACACCTCTTCATTCATTACATTTATATATACACTCAGGCTTTAAATATAAAATCCCATCATACCCCTGAGGCAAAACTGAATATAAAAAGAAAATATACTGCCAAAACTGGCTATTCAGGAGTCTAGTTTATATTCATAACTGAAAGCCTATCTAAGACTGCAGAAGGAGTATGCATCTATTTTATAATCACGGTCTCCTTTATAATACCTAAATATGGAGTTAAAATGACTCTTTTTAATGAACACAGTATGTACAAAGCTGTTTTAAGGACACAGCAGGAGTACTATGCAGCCAGCCACATTATGTTAACATAAAACTAATGCTTACAACGGTTCAGAAAATATCTCCTTCAAGAAGACAAAAGGAGTCCATTCAGCAGTCTAAAGATGTCGTATCATATCTGTGCAACAGTCACACATCGTCATATTCCTGGTCAATGCTAACAGTGGCAACAGCTTTACACTGAAAATATGGCATTACATTTTGCAGGTGGAATGTTTCTATATTAAACATATGCAGCATTATTTCCATGGCAACGTCTTGTTTCAGAGTGATTCAAAGCTGGAGTGGTCCCTCGTATGATAATAGTTTAAACGTAGTTCTTTAAAGGGAGAAATTATCTTAAAATGTTCAGCTTTAGGATTTTATCTTCTCTCTGAGGAGTGAAATGGAGGCAGGATGTGTTATATCAGTAAGAACAAGGACTTGTATCTGAAGCCAGGTTTTTAGCATGGGAAATTCATGGCTCTTGTTTTCTCAAGCATATCCTTTTTATAATCGAGGGCAGGCTGTTGAATAATATATTCTTACATTGCACTTTTGAAGATATAGGGGGTCAATAAGTGAAGCTAAAGGCTTATGGAGCATTTTGCAGTGTAAACACATTTGGTCTGTTTTCACAGTAAGCAGTCTTCCATTCAACTGGTAAATTTTGATTATTGGAGAGAATACAAATTATTTGCACATTTCTTTAACTGAATCATGTCAAAAAAGTTAAATAGTGTGAGACAAATAATCACTACTGTTGCTAAGCTGAGGTGACAAATATTTAAAGAGTGCTTAGGGAAAACTCACCCTTCTTTTTCCTCAAAGTGGCTTTAACATAAAAGAACAATTCAGCTTTATTCAAGTATTCAAATTCAGAGATAATTTCCAGAAAACACGACGAGGAGAACCAACGCTTGGAATACACTGTATTCCTCCACATGGCATTGACCTGTGCATAATGTAATGCCATTTTAGACGGAAAGCAACAACAAATTCATGCAGTTAACTTTCCAACACTACATAAGACAAGTAGGTTAGTATCCAATATAACAAAAAAGACAATTAATTTCTTATTACACAATATAAACAAGAATTTAATACGCACTTAATACTGCTTACCCTTTGTGCCATTGTTTAATTAGTAATAATTAAATCAGCATGACCCATCAAACCCTAGATTTAGCTGTGGTCACCAGAATAAATCTTCCACAATCCAACAAGGATCCGCTCAGGTGAAATGCGTCATGCTTTAATAGTGAATGTGAAGGTAATACTTTTGTTTTTTTTAGTGGGGACTACACAAAAACTGAGACGCAAAAAGGCCAATCACAAATCTTAATAAATATATATAACAAAGTCACATGCATGCCAGGGGAAACACAACATTACAATTTGTACATACATTTCATAAAAATAATTTTGTAAATAACTGTATCGTACCTTTATCCACTTTTAGGTCAGCATGCAGGAAAACAAAACAACATCAAAGTTCATTTCATAATGAACGGCTGCTGTAGAATAACAACAAAAAGTGTCACAGGTTAAAAATGCATTTTTAGGGGCCGTTCAAACAAGACATGTTTTTGTATTTAGAAATAACTAGACAGTTGAACGCGATGGATTTTTAAATTTTGTTTAAATCTTGATGTTGTCTTAAAAAAAATGCAGCTCTCATGGCGTGAGACACAAAAAACACACCAAAATACAAAGCAATAACTGCCAAGACAAAATGCAAGGAACACAACCTGTGTGAACGGTCCTTTATCTTGTAAAAACGTATTAAGTAACACCAGACACTGGATGAGATGTTTCAGCTTGCCATGACTGTGCTTACCTAGGTCTTCTAGCTCTGAGGTCATAGATTTTGAACGCATGGACAAGGCTGTGGAGGGAGCCCTCCGTGGTGGCAGGGGCGCTATAGCAACAAACCAAAAAAAAACACACAGCAGGTACAGTAGATGCTTAGCCATAGGCTGTAGCATACCCATGGGGAGGCATTGTATACAACATTAACTCATGCCGAGGTTTGCCGATTCTCATTTTAAATAATAAATTAGAGAGAAGAGCTTAAAAACACAAAATTAGTAGTGTTAGTAAAATCAAAAACTACTACTATTAGCATTATGGAAAAGCAATGGTTAGAATTACATGAAAGGAGTTTTGTTTGCTTCATTTTCAATCATATGATTAACATGTTCCTTCATAGCCCAGGTAGTCAAGAAATACTGAATAAATCAAGACATTTACCTTTCTTTCGAGCCGTGTCATCAGGGTCTAGATTTCGACTGACCGTCACCACTTTGATAATTAAGTGGTTGCCGCCGTGACGAATCATGTTGACCACTTGTTTGTGGCCCACTTTGACGACATTGTCCTGGTTCACCTATAAAAAAAGAGGAACAATTTAGCTTGTTTCAGGCATGCTCAGATGTTCACAAAGCAATAATTAGTCAAATGCACTTGTCACAAAATGGCACTGATGTGCATAATTCATTTCCTGCTTTTTGCTGTTTAAAAACACAGTGAAATGGTTTGACGTACATTTTTTTGTGTTGATATGGCTGGACATATCATTTCCTCATTAAAAAAGCCTTCTGTTTAAGTCACACAGCCAAACCACAGCTATGTTCAGAATTGTCAGCTCAATGCATGCTGCATATTTACTGCAAAGTATATATTTTATGATGTAAAATATATACAAATTAAATGAATCAAAAGTGACAGTAAAGCCCTTTACTCTTTTACAAATTCTATTTCAAATAAATGTTCTTTTGAAATTTCTATTTGTTTCACTTTTTTTTACAGAAATATTAAGCAGAACAACTGTTTTCAACATTGATAATAATAAGAAATGTTTCCTGAGTAACAAATCAGCATATTAGAATGATTTATGAAGGATCGTGTGATACATTCTTATTCTAGAAAGCATTTTTTGGTACAAAAAATTCCATATGTCCCTTAGCAAAAAGTTGTCATCAATATTTTTGGTCCTTTTTTTTTTTTAACCAGAAGAAAAGAGCTATACTGTTTAAATGCATATTTAAGTTGATTTCACCAACCTTTAGAAGTACCTTAGCATAAATATGGCCTCAGAGCTACTAACTAAAAGCCCACAAAACTACAATTTTGATTTCATAGGGCTTTAACTTCTGTATACTACATCATAGTCGAGTAAATAGATTTTGAGCATTTAGCTACACAAGAGGTTATGTAATGGTCCCTGGCAATACCACAAGCATCAACACCAAAGTTACACTAACCCCACTATATTTGTTGAAGCCCAGCTATCACTACCTCATTAATTTCCCAACTTAAACCAACACGAAATCATTATTTTATCCACAGTATGTTTTTAAATAACCTTTTACCCTATACATTTTCTTCATATACACTTAAACGATCACAATCCTAGTGAGAGCTGTCATTGTGAAGGCATCAGAGGGCAGTAAATCAAAATGGGGTTTAAATGTTTAAGCGGGACATTCAATCTGCCACTGAGCCGTTACTGGTGAGCTAAATTGAATTCAGCTACAGCAGAAACGATTTGCAAGTGGTGATAACCTTTGATATATGTGCAACATTCATCACCGGATATTTTTTCATCATCTCTTTTCAACAAAGGTGTAATTCCAATGACTCCAACCAGACTTAAAACTTACTCTGAGGGAGAAACAATCTGCATTCAACATTTCTTACTTGCTGCATGAAAGTGGAAAACAAACTCCCACAACTATTTGAATAGGTTTTAAAAATTATTTTTGACACAAGTTACCAGCTCACAACTTCAGACCACAGAATGTTTGGAAACAATACTGTATTTTTTAAAGTGCCCCTATTACAGATTTTTGAAAATTACCTTTCATGCAGTGTGTAACACAGCTCTAAGTGAATGAAAACATCCTGCAAAGTTTTAAATCTGAAAGTGCACCGTGTATAAAGTTATTGTCTCTCAAAAAAAAAACAGTCGACTCTAAATCATTGAAATGAGTCTTTTTAAAACTAATCCCAAGCCGTTTCATATTGACGTCAACATGAAACATTAGCAGATTGCCCGCCCACTTTTTGGTCTTTTCTAATTGGTCTGAATGAAAATGCAAATTCATTCTTTGCCACTAGGTGCCGCTTTTGGAGCGGTAAAAATAGCGGTTTCCCCGGTAACGCTGTACACAAAGCAGCACTGCGCTCACAAACGATGCTTTATCAGGCATTACAGGCATGATGAAATGAAAATGAGACCAATTGGACCAATCACCGCAGATTAGTGTCACGCAAAGGAGGGGTATGGAAAAATCATTCTTCTGGGAGTCGTTGAGCAAGTAAGATAAAAATAAATAAATGCATATTATAAGACAATGAAAGTGTTTTTTGACCTTGCATGCATGTCAACCTGTTGTTGGGGACTCCCAAAACCAAAATATGAACTAGTGCTGTCAAACGATTATTTGCACCCAAAGTAAGTTTTTGTTCACATAATATATGTGTGTGTACTGTGTATAGTTATTATGTATATATAAATGCAAACACATGCATGTATTATGTATTTTTCAAAATATATACTGTATGTGTGTGCTTTTATATATAAATAATAAATATACACAGTACACAAACATATATACAGTAAAATAAAACTTTTATTATGGATGCGATTAATTGCGATTAATTGTTTGACAGCACTAATATGAACCTTTCATTACCCATAATATGAGCACTTTTAATTGTCAGAAGAAAACTGAGCAGCGCTTGCTCGTGCAAGACTCACATCAGGATGTTGTGGGTGGATGCAAAGTCATTGCTATGGTGTTCAGAATGGTTGCTAGGGTGTTCTGGGTGGTTGCTAGGTGGTAGATTACTGACCCGAGTCGAAAATTCAGCAGTATGCGTAGAAAAGTAGTACTACACCTAACAATAACATGCCACACGATTTGACATAATCACAATTGTCATTCCCTATCAAACTCATCCTAAATTATAAGAAACAGTAATAGTGATAGCTGCCTTAGCAAGCAGCACTAATGACTATGATAAGATGTTGATATTCTCACGATACAAATCGTCAAATAAAAGGCACTGCAGGCAAATTAGAGACACCCCTGCTCCTGTGGCATTTCTCAAGCAAAACGATAAACACAGGCACTATGAAACAGATCAGCAGAGAGAAAATGAGATAGACAGGTTTGGAGAGATTTTAGAGTATGCCTTTTACCGAATAAAAGGTTACGTGAATAAGCTTGGGTAACCTAGGAAACAGCCGAGGAGCCGAAGTCGTCTTCATGACGAAGAGAGCTGAGCTGCTCCTTTTATTCCTTCGTGTATGTTTGTGTGATTCATAAATGCTGCGAGTGTGATGAGAGCAAGGGACTACGTATGTGATTGTATGAGAGAGAGATTGCCATTCGTTCCAATTAAATAAAATTAGCTGAAGTTAGAAAGCAATCCGAAATCAATGTGGGACCAGGAGTGAAAGCCCCACTTGGAAAGCCAGGTCAGTTAAAAAAAGTAACAGCCTTTAACGTCAATCACCGTTACCTTTTCAACATCTCTCGCTATTGTGGATTTTCATACTGCGCATTCCAGAAGACAAAATAACTCTGCATTACATCTTCGAGCTTGACCTTATGACAGATGATGTAAATTTAGAGAGATTGAGAAGGAGAGAGAGAGAGAAAGCTCTGTGAATCATGAGCTGTAATTGCAACTCATGGCAGTGCAGATTTTTGCAGTGCTGGAGGAAGGGGGTGGGCACAAATTTCCCAGCATTCTCACTGACCTCCAGTCTCTCGGCATGTCACACACTGGTAATAAGATTTGGGCTCATTTAGGAAGTGCTGGGACCAGATGTAGATAAAGCTCACAAAACAGCACAATCTCAGCATGGCCACTTCATCTTGATAATCTCATTATGCTGGAACCGAGCCAAATCCAACCAAGCTGAGCCGTCAGCACAGGAACCTGATTTTGTGTTGTTTTAGATATCAGGACATGGAATAATCAGTCATTCATTACTCACCCTCATGTTCTTCCAAAAATACATACTAATTTTTCCTTAAGATACAAAAGGATAATTTTGAAGAAACATCTTGCAGGTTTGTTAGCAGTGACCTGACCACAGACTAACAAAAGGGAGCCTATGGTGTCATCTCTGACTACTCGGACTACTTTGTCCTTGACAGCCTGTGGTCACTATGAGTTATCATTGCAGTTATACAGGTTGAGAGCAACATGAAGGTGAATAAATAATGCAAATTCTGTTATCATTTATTCACCCTCATGTACACTCTTAAAATAAAGGTTCCAAAAGGTTAGCAGGAATGCCATAGAAGATCCATTTTAGGTTCCTCAAATAACCTTTTGATGAAAAGAACCACTTTTTTAAAGTGAAATACATTTTAATAATCTACAGAATGTTTTTCACTACAAAGAATCTTTTGTGGTTTTAGAAAGGTTCTATGAATGTTAAATGTTTTCAGTGACGATAGATGCCAATCAAGAACTTTTAAACCTGACTTTTTTCTGTGGAAAACAAAAGTAGAAATTTTTAAAATGGTTCATCTGAGCAGGTGAAGAACACTGAGCTACCTTAAAAAAAACAAAGCAAAAAATGCAGTATTTTTTATTTGAGATGCATATACTGTATAATAGGGCTGTGCGATATTGAAGAAAAATGCGATATGCGATATCTCATTAAATAATGCGATATTCGATAAGATAATGCTTAAAGTGCCACATGCTCAGATGAAACTGTTGCTGAGTCAGTTCTGTGAACTTCTATAACTATCTTGTGTCATATATATATGGTTATTTGTATGTATCAAGAGCTCCTGTAAAACCACAACAAATTCCTTGTGTTTGCGCACACTTAAGTGGTGAATAAAGCTCATTCTGATTCTGATTCCAATATAACTAGCATACATGTTTCACTTTTTGTGAGAAGAAAGCACCCCTACAACAACTTCTGAAAGTGAACGGTAGTGTTTTACTCTAGCATTACATAAAAATGTCATTTTAACATTAGTGTAATCATTTTAACATGAGTTTAGGAACTGAATAATAAAAAGGAAAAATACAACACTGCTTAGTATTTACTCAATGAATTCAATATGCACTGATTCTTATTTAAGCTACAAAAGTTATTTAGGTAAGAGCAGTGAGTGATTTTCTCTGTCTTTTGTTCATGGCCCCAAATATTGCAAGCTGTAGCGATATGCATATTGCGATATGTACATTTGCGATATTTCGATAATTTCGATATATTGCACAGCCCTACTGTATAATGATGTGTTTTTAAACCATATTATTAAACTGACAAATCTGAGTGGATTTACAAACAGAGTAACACAATTTGTACAAAAACACTTAACATAAAAAAAATCATAAAGGAGTAAT